GGCTGGAGCGCACACACGGGAGGAAGGCGGCGGATGCTGGGCGCGCGAGACTACAAGCACGTGCGGAGCGGACAGGCGAGGCCTAGTTCGCGCGGGATTAGGAAAGACAATAGCGGCGCAGACGTGCGTGGTAAGGCGCGCGCCCGAGAAACCGCGCGCGACAAGGAGTAGGAGCCGAAGATCGGCGCGCGCATGAGGCGTTTGGCGAGAGTTGGCCGAAGGTTTTTTGGGAGATTACTTGTGCTTCAAAAATACTTGGAGTGCAAGTCAAACATTATTAATTATAGTAGTATTAGGATTTTATTACCATGTTGCTTTTCATTAATAAATTAGGAGATCTAATTAGCTTAGGCTTAGATTTATTTTATGCACCTATAATTAGGAGTATCCCCTCATTGTTTTTAATGTCATGGAATTGATGAGTGAATAGAAAAGGAACGTTTGTTCAAACGTGTGTTAGGATTCGTGAGAGTTCGATCATGCAATCGAATTAGTGAGGCTAAGACCTGAGCTAGTTCAATATCGAGGGAGCAAGGCTAATTACCGAGTGAACTCAAGTATCGTCAGAGAGTTAGGCTAATAACTGAGTCGATCACACCTATTAGTCGAGGGCGAGTCGGATGATGAGGATGGTGACGTTCTCAACATATTGTTGGACAACATGCTAGAAGAGCCTACAAGTCCGATTTACCGGCCATCATGTGTACGAGAATGGCCAAAAGGATGTGGTCCGAAGTTAAAGGCGAAGGCTCAAAAACGCAAGGCGAAGCAAGCCCGAAGGAAACACAAAGTGAAGGCTAAAGAAGGGAAGGGTTAGTGCAAGCCTTGTGCGAGGAAAAGGCGAGTATTGAAGATGGAAGCTCGAAGGCGAGGTAAACAACGAATGGAGGATGGTTGGATTTGGCGAGCTGGAGATTGTATTGGGTTGGAATGTTGGGACCCATGGCCATCAGGCAAGCCAACGGAGTCGAACGACAAAAGGGTCAAGGAAGATCAGCTATAGGGCGTATGGCACGCATCATGCCATGATGCGCGCGATAAGGTGGTGCACACGGCGTTGGGTGCACGGGAGCGCAGTTGGACAGAGTAGGCCACGGGGACTGGCGGTACGTGCGGTGCCGCGGGTGCAATGGGGTGTGCGGTAGGCGAGCAGTCCATGGAGGTTGACTGGGACACGTGGCGTTTGGCGGCAAAGTGACGGGGAGCACGGGGTGCGCGAAGGGAGCTCACGCGGGCGAGAACCTAGGCCTGGCAAGCCTAGGAATGTCGGGGGCGCACGTGTGCGAGGAAGTCGGCAATGGCACGGGGCTCGTGGGCAGCAGCAAGTGGGGCGACGCGGGCGATGGCTTATGCCGCGTAGGCGAAGGAGTAGCGGGTGGCGGTGCGGACGCGCGTGGGAAGAATGGCAGCAGCGGGGAGCACGCGATAGCGCACTGATGAGGATCGTGTGTTTCGACTGCCGATAAGCCGCTAACCCGCGCCTTGAATCGCCGATAGTGTTTCTCTAGCCACAACCGCGCCTATTGAAACGAATAAAATTGCAATAGTATTCTGGTGAAAAGACTAAAGCAAAGTTGGAAGAACAAATTTCTAGATTTCTATTGACTTATTGAATGATTGAATGAATAAAAATAACATAGGGAAGGGCCTTTATATAGGCACAAGATTTGTCTAAGTCTAATCTACCTAGGAAAATAATAAAGCAATAAAATATTAAGTATCCTAACCAATCTAGATATCATAGAGCATTAAGGAAACTAAATAAGTGGGGATCTTGAACTTGTCTTGCACTCCAAGTAACCCCAAACCGCCCTTGGCAGCCCAGTCCGCGCGTGCGTGCTGTCCGTGCGTGCTGCTTGATGAAGACCGTGTGTCTCGATTGCCGACAAGCTGCTCCCGCGCCTTAAATCGTTGATATTGTGCTCGGAGTTTCACACACTCGCTCCCCTTCGAACGATATTTTGCAATAGAACACTTATCGTAAACTAAAGCAAGAGATTTGAACAAAGTTCGGTTTTTGTATTAAGAAAAATCAATATGAATAATTGAGAACAAGACACGCCTATTTATAAGGCTCAAAATAAAGATCTAGTCCTAATCTACTTAGACTAGACTACTTATTCTAGGAAAGCAATAATATATAAAGTATCCTAAACAATCTAGAAAACAAGGAAATAACATATTAATCAAGCTATTTAACTTATTTCTTACTTACGTTCCAAACTGCCTTGCTCCGCGTCCGCGTCGCCTAATCGCCCAAGGACTAGGGCTTCATGTTCCATTCCCGCGCACGCGTCCAGCAGCTCGCCTAATCCTCGTGCACCTAGGCAAGTTCGCGCGTGTACCCCGTCGCTTGCGCGTTCAACCCCGCACTCGTCCTCGATAGTATTGCGTGCGTGTCCGTCCGCGTATCGCGCCTCGCCAGCACGGCGACTTAGCCTCCTTCGCGCATGCCACGCGCGACTCGCTGCGTTCTTGAGTCTTCTCGCCGTGTCCGCATCGTTCCCGTCCCCTTCAAGTGCTTTCTTGTCCTCAAGGAAGAAATCAGGGAACATCTCGCGCATCTCGTCCCAACTTTGCCACGTCGCTTCCTCACTCGCCAAGTCCTCCCATTCGACGAGCACCTCCCAAAAATATTTCCCAGCCTTTTTGACTTGCCGGTACTTCATCACGCGGCTCGGCCGCACCATAACCTGCCCGTCCGGGGCAACCGCGGGTAGTCGATCCTTTGCCGCGTGCGTCTCGCTGAGTCGTTGCTTGAGTTGTGGGACGTGTATAACCAGGTGAATATGGGAATCGCCCGGCAACTCAAGTCGATAAGCAACCTTCCCAACCTTGGCCAAAATTTTATAAGGCCCGTAATATCGAACTCCGAGTTTGGTTGCGGCCCTTTGCGCGGCCGTCCTTTGCCGAAACGGCCTCAACTTCAAGTATTTTCAGTCCCCAGGCTCGAACTCCACGTCACGTCGCTTGCCATCATGGTATGCCTTCATCCTATTGATCGAGCCCTCCAACGTCCTCTTTAGTTCTCGCAAAATCAAGTCGCGCTCGACCAACTCTCGATCGACCTCATCGTTCACGGCGCTTCCCATCGAGTAACTCACGATCATCGGCAGTTTACGTACATACACCAACTCGAACGGCGTTGCCATAGTCGAGCTATGGTAAGTGGTGTTATACCAATACTCAGCCCAAGGTAAATAATTCTCCCACCGCTTTGGAAACTGATGCACATAGAACCTAAGGTACTGCTCGAGTGTGCGATTGGTCACCTCTGTCTGTCCGTCAATTTGTGGATGATAAGCCGAGCTCATGCTTAGCTCGGTTCCCTACAGTTTAAAGAACTCCGACCAAAAACTACTCATAAATATCTGATCTCGGTCGGACACAATTGACCGCGGTACCCCATGCAATTTCATCACATATTCGACAAACAATTTTGCTATAGACTTAGCCGTGTATGGATGAGTAAGTGGAATAAAATGCGCATACTTGGTAAGGCGGTCGACTACCACCATGACTCCATTGAACCCATTCGAGAGTGGCAACCCATCGATAAAATCCATGGTGATGTCTTCCCAAATTCGTGCGGGGACCGGCAAAGGTTGGAGCAGCCCTCCTGGTCGACGCGCGTCCGCCTTAGTGCGTTGGCACTCATCACATCGCCCAACGTAGTCGTGCACGTCACCCCTCAGTCCCGGCCAATAATAAGTGCTTGCAATTCTCATCCATGTCCGGTACACCCCTGAGTGTTCTCCAAACTTCGAGTCGTGGAAGTGCCGGATGATTTCCTCGAGCAACGATCCCGCCTTGGGCACGACGACTCGACCATGATAAAGGAGAAAGCCATCGTGCATGTCATGGTCCTCATCCTCGTCGTGTCCCACGTTCAACTTCTCGATCACATCCCGGCGATGTGCATCCTCGTCTTGTGCCTTCCGTAGCTCGGCCCAAACAGCCCACGTCGGCCCCCTCACTGCGTCGAGCTCGGCCACGTCTTCCCGGCGAGACAATGCGTCGGCCACGGTGTTCTGGCGACCTGGACGATACACTATCTCGAAGTCGAACCCCATCAATTTAGACACGAACTTCTGTTGCTTGGGCGTCACGATCCTTTGCTCGAGCAAGTGCTTGAGCGGCTGCTGGTCCGTGACAATCCGAAAGCGTCGCCCAAGCAAATACGGCCTCCATACGCGCACGGCCTCGACCACGGCCACCATTTCCTTTACGTACGTGGACAACCCTAAGAGCGTCGGCCCGAGTGCCTTGCTGAGATCGGCCAAGGGTCGCCCTTCCTGCACTAGACCCGCCCCGATCCCAATATCACTCGCATCCGAGTGAATCTTGAACAACACATCAAACCTCGGCATTGCGAGCACGGGCGTGGTCGTCATGGCCTCTTTCAGCTCCTTGAAAGCCTTCTCGCTCGCCTCCGTCCACTTGAATGCTCCCTTGTTCGTCATCTCCGTGAGTGACTTCGCGATGGTCCCATAGTCTTTTACGAATTTCCGATAGTAGCCCGTGAGACCAAGGAACCCTTGCAACTGCGTCAAGCTTGTGGGTTTCGGCCATCCCATCATCGCTTCAATCTTTCTTGGATCCACCTTGACACCATAATGAGAAATAAAGTGCCCAAGGTACTCGACCACCTCTTGAGCAAACGAGCACTTGGACGGCTTGATATAAAATGAGTTAGCCGCCAAAATCTTTAAAACAACTCGCAAGTGCTCGAGATGATTTGTCCATGTTTTCGAGTACACCAAAATGTCATCAAAGAATACTAACACAAACTGTAACACCCCGACTTATCAGAGTAAATTTTTTTCGCAACTTATTTCAAAAAT